TGTTTCCATTCTGTAACCCAGAATTTCCCTCTTAGACACCCACAGTCAAGGAAAGTGTACTCTGTATGTAACAAATGATAAGTTGTTTTCTTTTTCATACCTATAGCCAAAAGGGATACCTGTTGAAAGAAAAAGAAATTGACAAATTGTGTCTTGGTGAAAAATAACATAAAATGAAAATAAAGTATAGCAGAAGTGAATCTTAAATGCACTCTTGAAGCAAAAGATCAGATAGTGAATGTGCCCTGTATGATTGCATTTATGTAACATTCCAAAACAGACTGCTCTTTTTTAATTGTGTGCTGTTAAATAGATATGCTTATTTTTGACAATATATGATTTGTGTATTGCTCTGAAGTAAGGTGTACCTGAATACGAATGTTAGGAAAAGAAGGAAGGACGAGGGATGTAGCTCCATGGTAGAGTGTTTGCCTGACATACACAAGGGCCTGAGTTCCACCAGCACCAATGGTGACAGCAACAACAGAGAACGAGAAGGCCTGGTTTATGGAGATGTTTGTAGGAAGCAGAGGAAGAAGCAGTGTCTTGGTTTCTTTTCTGTTGCTGTGATAAAATAATCTGCCAGAGCTGGGTGGTGATGGCGCACACCTTTGACCCCAGCACTCGGGAGGCAGAGGCAGGCAGATATCTGTGAGTTTGAGGCCAGCCTGGGCTACAGAGTGAGATCCAGGACAGCCAGGACTACATACAGAGAAACCCTGTCTGCGGGGGAGGGGAGTCTGCCAGGAGCCATGCATGGTGGCACACCCCTGTGTGGGAGGCAGGGATGGGGGCAGCTCTGTGAATCCAAGACCAGCCTAGTCTTCATGTAGTTTCCAGTACATCCCGGGCTACATAGACCCAGTCTAAAAACAATAGCAATAAAAACCCTCCCGAGGTAAAGGCACCTGACACACAAGCCGGAAGGAGCTAGCTTTGTTCTATTCCAGAACTCATGTCCAAGTGGAAGAAGAGAACTAACTGGACAAAGTTGTCCTCTCCCCTCCACATGCCCACACCCCCCGAGAGTACTAATAATAAACCAAATGCAAATTACAAGCTTCTTCCCTGGTAGAAGCAACTTGAGGAAGAACAGGTCTTTTCTGTGTCACAGTTGACGTTACAGTCCATCATTGTGGGGAAGTCACATTGCATCCATAGTCAAGGAGCAGAGACCAGCACATGCTTGCATGCAGTGCTCTGCAGAGTTCTGCATTTTATACTGTGTGGGACCCTCTATCCAGTCTCTTCTCGGCCTTTTGGCTAAGATCAAGTGTTGGACCCTCTACCCAGAGAATGGTTCTACCTACAGTTAAGAAGGGTCCTCCCACATGAATTAACATAAGCAAGATAACACTAACACACACACACACACACACACACACACACACACACACACACACACCCATCTCCCAGGTAATCCTAATTCTGTCAGATTAGCAGTTAACACTAGCCATCCCATGGGGCAGTATTTTTGCCACCACGTTTTGACTAGATGTCCTCACATGCTATTTTTTTCCTCTCCTTCTCAGACCATCCCTGACTAGTAACTTCCCAGGTCCCAGGCCCTACATTCTCTTCTCCATGTAACTCCGTGTTGGGATGTTATATCTCTGCTCCCAGTTCCAAGGCTAGTCTCTCAGCTTTGCACTCCTGGTGTTCTTCATACCGTGACGTATGACGCAAAGATGGGCATCCCTAAGACCTCCTTCCTCCTAAGTAAGCTGTTAATCCTAATGTAACTGCTTGCATCAATGGCTGCACCTTGGAAAGGTTTTTGTCTTGTTCTGGTTTTGACCTTATTTATGAATGTTTTGCACAGAGTATTGCTAACCCCGTTTTTAACATTATAAAATCCTTTATTTCCATTTATAAAGTCGCCATGGTAGCAGATTTTTTTTTAGAAAGCCACAACAGGGTTGCTACTGTAAGTTGATTTTCCTTGGAGCCAAGGTAACTCATTATTTTTTATGTTTGTTTGTTTGGGTTTTTTTTTTCTGTGACAGCATAGTCCTCTGGCTCTTTAATTTTTAAATTAAATATTAAATTTTCAAAGTCTTTTGAGTTGAATAGGAAAGAAAGGTGCATGCAGGTGCTGACTAGCTGGGAAGAGCAGACGTAAGGGCTCTGTGCAGTACACGATGGGAAGACACTGTTAGCAGCTGTGCAGAAACAGAAAGCTGCTAATGGAATCAGCCCTCTTGAGAGGCTTCTCTGCTATAACCGAAAACCTAACAGTTAACTATGACGCTTAGGTTCACTATGGTCTCAGCACTTGGCACGTTTACACTTAAAATAATTGCTACACAGTACAAAGGGTAGTTTTCTGACAAAAACTCCACATCTCCATAAATTGAGATTTGGGCTCCTATATGAGGTCTTGTAACTGAATGTGAGGGTCTCAAGAAATTGGAGAACAGTAAAAGGCTTCTGAATGTGCAGCAACCAAAAATGGATTTAAACTCAAACACATAGTGAACCCAAGGTGCTCTGGCAGCACCTGCCGGTATTACCTCATACGACCTTAGGGCAGCCCTGGTTCTGAGTCCATGTACCGTTTGCACTGAGCATACTGTTGCAGCACAGTGAGGAGGAACATGCCTGAAGCACCTTGGCTCAGATGCAGGTTATGAATGACAGTGCTCTTCCAGCATACATAGTTTTCTGTTTGTACAGATATGTACAGCTTACCTACAGAAAACAGAAACTTAAGGTTTTCCCGTTACCATTCTTCAGCATATAAAGCTCAAATCAGTATATACCTAGATTATATTGTGTTGGAATGATAGATCTCAAAAATTGGTATTTTAGTTTCATTCAAAAAAAAAGTAACTGGGCAGTGGTGGCACACGCCTCTCATCCCGGCACTTGGGAGGCAGAGGCATGCAGATCTCTGAGTTTGAGGCCAGCCTGGTCTACAGAGAGAGCTCCAGGACAGCCAGGGCTGCTACACAGAGAAACCCTGTCTCGAAAAATAACATGAATGGAATGGAATTGTTGAGCCAAGGAGATGGCTCAGCAGATAAGAAGCACTTGCTGTACAAGCCTCACAGCTTGAGTTTGGATCCCTTGAGCCAGTGTAAAAGCGGTGGTGTGTGTGTGTGTGTGTGTGTGTGTGTGTGTGTGTGCGCGCGCGCGCGCGCGCGCGCGCGCGCGCCAGTCACAAGATGTCAGGCAAGGACAGGAGAATTCCCTGGAAGCCCACGGTAGATAGCCGGAATGTGCAGTACAGCGGCACACAAGAGAGTCTCGACCTCCAGGTGGAAGGTGAGGACCAAACCCGACGTTGTCCTGGACCTCCCCACACATGGTGCAGCGCTCCACACTGACATGTACACACATACAAAGAAGTGAATAAATAAACACTTTGGAGGGTGCAGAGACGCTCAGTGGTTAAGAGCACTTACTGCTCTTTCAGATGACCCAAGTTCAGTTCCCAGCACCCACGACAGGCAGCTCACAACCTTCTGTAACTCCAGCTCCAGGAAATACAGTATGTTCTGGCTTCATGAGGTACCTGCATGTCTGTGGAACAGAGACACGTAAATAAAAATAATAGTATTTTTAATTACTAATGTTTTTATTGGTAAATGAATTTTGACTTGGGTTTAGGAAAGAATTTCCAACAGCTTCTGAAATAGCCCTAAGCGTGCTTCTGCATGCAGAACCATAGTCTCTGCATTGACAGTTACCTATCCAATCAGAATATTGATCAACTCTGAAAAATGCTGAAGGTGCTCTACCTTTGGCCAACCCCGTGACATCTTGTCACCTGTGAAGTTCACAATTGAGAACTGTGTAATCAAGTTCCAAAACAATTCTTACGTTTTAAGTATGTTTACCATTTTGTGTTGGGCTGCGTTCATAGCTGTTTTCAACCACATGTAACCCATGGGCACGTGACCCATGCTAGGCATACCTCCTGGGTCTTATAGTATCACGTCCTCAGCCAAGAACTATGTAAAAATAAACATACCTCATTATGCAAATTTAAGTTGGCCTTTAATAAATGGGGAATTGCTTAGTGATTGTTTTAAAATAAAATTATGATTTATTACCAGGAAATATTTGTGTATTTATTTTGTATACCTGAATACCTGGGGTCGTGTAAAAATACTGTGAAAAGAGTTGTAAGAAAAGGGAAACTAGGGAAGTGGAGGGCAGGCATAAGCTCAACATAGAATGGATGCTTGTGTGAAATTGTCCTTACGTAACACAGTGCCATACACAGTGAATACACACAATGAAACTTGAAAAGAAAGAGCAGCGGGCACAGTTCAGTTGGTAGAGGGCTTGCCCAAGCATGCATGGGGACCAGGATTCAGTCCCTAGCCACACATACATGGAACATGGAAATACACATCTAATCTGAGCACCCAGGAAGTGCAGAGTCATCCTCAGCTGCATAGCAGATTCAAGGCAGCTTGGTCTAGAAACCATTCGAATTAATGAATGTTCCAAGTGGGAAAAGTTCCAGACGTCTAGTGTCGGCTGATGGTTTCTGGGTTGAAGACAGAACCCCATTCATTAACATGAAGATGGTAGTGAACCACCATAACACATACTGTCTGAACAGGATGATGAACACTTCTGTGTCCCACACTTCTGTGATTTCAAAAGCTCTGAAGTCATCTTTATGATAAAAAGCCTTTGAAAAGGGTTGTTAAATGGAAGTAACCTCCATTACTAGAAGACACTGCTTCTAGTAGAGTTAAGATCTTGCCACTTCTGTTTTTCACACTTGGTTTCTGGTCAGTTTAAATTTTCTTAATTGCATTTTGTTTATTTGTGGGTGTGCGTGTGCGTCCTGAGGATCAAAGGCGGCAGCGTGTGCTTTTACCCACTGACCATCTTGCCAACCCTCTTGTTACTTCAGATGGGTATTTTGGTCAACTAATAGTCGGCTAGTGTTTATGTTTTCATTTCAAGGGTTATCTTTTTGTCCTTCTTGAATAATAAAGACAATTAAGCACCTTTACTGTTTCCTGTTGCTCTGTAAGGCACAACTGGTCGATCTACGCTCTGAACTGACAGAAACTCAAGCAGAGAAGGTTGTCCTGGAGAAGGAAGTCCACGACCAGCTTTTACAGTTGCACTCCACGCAGCTTCAGCTGCATGCCAAAACTGGGCAAAGTGCCGACTCTGGCACCATTAAGGCAAAGTTGGTAAGTGAACCATGGTGAGCAGTGTGCTTTGGAGGGTTTTTAGCGGAGTTACAGTCCTAAAATGTTGTGTTCATTGTGAGAATTCAGGCAATAGAAAGTTTATGGTCATCATGTTCACCAGTAGCATCTGTGATGATATCAATAGCTACCTGATAGAACAGAAAATTCTCTATCTTAAAATATTGGTATAAATATATTTAAAGGGTATTTATGATATAACATAAACCATTTTTTGTTCTACTGTCTGTCAGGGTTAAGTTCAGCTGCTGTAGCAAACATCCCGAGTAAGTAGTTTTGAGATTGTTCTTGAATAGTGTTGTTGGTTTTTTTCCTCAGCTAGCCCTGAGGCAGGCATCCCAGAACTGATGCAGCTGCTCCCTATGTCCTAGGGGTTGAACTGCTTTTATTGGGCTCTGCCGTTTTTTTAGCAGATGACTTCCAGCCTTGGGATTTCCTCGTGTCTCTGCCTAGATAGGAACAAGGAAGAGTCTCAAGAGGGGTAGAAACATTCTTCACTGTGTTAGCATTCATTAAAAAGCATTCATTAAATTTGCTCAGTAACTGTTGCCAGCGTCCCATTCGCTCAGCCCTAGCTGTGTGTTAGTCTGTATATCTCGGTAAAGTCGGAGTGCTGGTAATAAATACAGAGAAGGGACCAGTGTGGCTAAATAACAACAAGGCTCTTAGCTCCCAGTAGCATGCGAGCATTTCTTCTGCTACTGAACATTGTCGTGTCTATATATTGTTTCGTTGTGAGTTCACTCTAATTAGTCAGAACGCTCTTAATCAAAACAGGCTATTTAAATAGAAAACCAAATTGTAAGGCTTGTTTCAATTTAACCTATGTATTGAGTGCCTTCTATGTGCCAGACATTTGGCTAACTAGATGGAGACAGCAGTAAGAAAGGTAAAGAAAGCTGGGGAGAGACAGGCCATGAACCCTGCTCCTGGTGTCCTGAGTGTAGAACATGTTTAAGTTTGGCTTAGTTGCCCTTAATCAGGTTTGACTGGTTTAGGTACTGATATGTTGAAATCTACTTCAACATTGATATTTTCCTAAAGTCCTCATAAACTGAAGGGCTATGGATCTGTGTTAATAGTGTTTTATTTGACCACCTTAAAAGTCAGATCATAAATTATTTGAGTTATGTGATATTAACATGAAGAAACATTCTACATTTTCATTAGAAGAGTTCCTAAACTTTTTGTTAGTTTTTTGGGTTTTTTTGAGACAGAGTTTCTCTGTGTGGCCGTGGCTGTCCTGAATTTTACTTTGTGGACCAGGCTGGCCTTGAACTCACAGAGGTACTCCTACCTCTGTCTCCCAAGTGCTGGGATCAAAGGCGAGCGCCACCACTGCCCAGCTCCAAGGCCTAAACTTTTAACAGGTGCTGTAGAGAAGCAAATAGTGGGCCAGTTGTATTAACTAATTTTAATTTTAAAAAGTTGAGTCTAATATTATAACTGTTGTTTATAGATTTGCAGATATATTTGTGCTAATGAGCTTTACCCAAATGATAGTCAAACTGTAGAAGTTTTCCTTGTAATGATATTACCACTAGATAAATGTGTTTGTTCAATAGTTTTCTAATTACAAACCTTTTTTCTTGTATCTGAAGTCTGTCCCCTCTGTGGAGGAGCTGGTAAGTCTGTTGTTCCTCATGCTTTAGATACTGTGTCCTGCTGAAGTGTTCTGGTCTTCTGTGTATTGCCTCTCGTCATACTCTGAAAACAGTGTTAATACCAGTTTTCCCGTGTTCGGATACCTGAAGTTCAGAGGGCCCATTGTGCTTTGCTCCCTGCCTGTGGCTAAAGACTTGTCTTTCACTTGTGACTTGTAGCCATCATTAGCAGAGCCCATCAGTTTTTGACAACTTTTGAGTCTTGTGACTTGCTCACACTTCTGCTTCGGCAAAAATACCTGCATGAGGGTATTGAAGGTGTATTGAACAGACCTAGTTTTTACCCCCAAATTTCTATCTGAACTTGTTCCCATTTAGAGAGTGTGCATGCTGATTCCTTCATCTATTGCATGTGTTGTTAGTACCTTTTAGCGGGTGTGGAAATGATTGTGTAGCCTTTAAAGCACTGCATTTTAAAATTTTTATCAGAAATTATTTTAGACAGTAACACTATGTAAATTCTTAATGTCTTTCCTGTTACCTCGAGCTAATCAGATTCCAGTTGACTTATGACTTTACCACTTCTGAAAATACATTTTTTACAAGTCTAAAACGTGAAACAAACTTTATGCTTGTTACCTAATACAAAAAAGTTAACCAGGAAACAAACTTACAAATTATCTTTAAATCTTAAAGTAATTCTCTTGAGTTTTCTTAATCATACTCTTATTTGCATGTTTTTTAAATGACAGACTGTCTTTGAACTTACATAGATCTGCCTGTCTCTGTCCCCCCAGTGCTAGGATTAAAGGTATGTGCACCCTGTGGCCAGCTTGCTTGCATGTCTTCATTTCAAGTCTCAGAGACTGTCAGAGTCTTGAGGAATTTGAATTATTAAGAGGAAGTGGTAGCCTCATAAGCATCTGCAATTCATTAGTAAGCTGTAACTAGCTCATTAAAGTGATTGGAAGGAGATAATCCTTGTAGTAATGTTTATATAACCTGTACACCAAAGAAGTCTTGGTCTCCAGGCTGGGAGTGGAGCTCAGTGAGTGCAGTGTCGCTAGCGTGGAGAGAGCTCCCAGCACCGCCTAAAACCAGGCAGGGTAGCACAGCCAGCCTGGGCTACCACAGCCAGCCTGGGCTACCACAGCCAGCCTGGGCTGCGTGATGAAACTGTCTCAGAGAAGAGAAAGCAAGCGGAAAGAGGGGAGTTGCTATAAAAGAGTCTATGTTACTAGCTTTCCACGTCTCTTACCAAGAATGCATAGAGATTGTGAGTGGGCATGAGTGTCTGTTCCTGTTTACAAAAGCTGAGGGAAACCCTGCTTCTCTTCCTTCTGCTCGTCAGTTACATAATGAATATCCTTACGAATGAGACGGGGTTCCCCAGCTGCGATCAGACCTGTGCTAGCTAGGCAAGCCCTCACCATTCAGCTGTACTCCCAGCCTTATATACAACAGACGTTTGTACTCAAGGACATTGCTGACTTTTCAGCATTTGATGGTTTTCCCTTCTTTTACATGTGTATACACACATAATGCACTTAAAATGCATGTATATTAAGATTATGTAATACCTTGTTTTTGAACATACCATTTTTGATGCTGGTCAAAATAGAACAAACGCATCAACTAAGTTAGTACCAAAATGTATTCAACAAGTTGGCCAACATTTGCTTATATTTGTTTTGTGTTCTCTCCCCGCCCCCCTTTCTTTACTGAGGCAAACCTCACTGTGTAGTGCTGGCTGTCCTGGAACTTGCTGTATAGCCCAATCTGGCTTCACACGTGAGCAGTTTCTCCTGCCTCTGCCTCCAGAATGCTGGGATGACAGGAGAGAGCCACCACGCCCAAGTGTTTGCTTAAGACAGGGTCTCTGGTATCCTGGGCCAGCTTCAAACTTGCTATGCTGCTGAGGCTGGCTTTGAACTCCTGACTGTCCTGCCTCAGCCTCCCAGGGATTGGGTGCATATCCAGTGTGTACCTTCTCAGTATCTGAATTAAAAGGAAAAATAACTACTTAGTTGGTGCCTGTAACAGAATAATACCGTTGCCAGTTCCTCAACAGAAACAGCTTCTCCTTGTGAGAAGCAGAGTATTCATAAAGGGGACATAATGATGAATTGAGTAATGTCCTCTGTATCTCATGATAAACATATCATATATCATGATATACATATCATAAAAGTCTAATCATATTTTCTTCGGCTCTGTGGACTTCTGTAAGTCAGCAGGAGTGGCTCTCATCAGGATAAATGCTAGTGTGGAGTGTTTGTGTGGTTTTGACTCAGAACTAATACCTGTGGCACCTCTATTCAACTGTAGAAGAGGTGTGTTTAGCCACACACTTAGTGAGCATCTGATTTGGAATTTGCCTTTCTTTGGCCAGGACTTGTACCTTCCATTTTGCATTCTGCTTTGACTTGAAGCTTCCCATTTTATCCTTGTGTCCTGATCCCATGGTCTGTGAGCATAAACACACTGTATAAACACAAGGAGAAGTGAACATCAGTTCTCATACATGAACTCAAAGTAAAAGTTTAGCTGGGTGGTGGTGCATACCTTTAGTCCCAGCACTCAGCAGGCAGAGACGGGTGGATCTCTGAGTTCGAGGCCAGCCTGGTCTACAGAGCGAGATCTAGGGCAGCCAGAGCTGCACAGAGAAACCCTGTCTTAGGGAGAAAAAAATGTAATAGTGATGGTTTGGGGATTATGTCCTGTAATACCTGTAGAGGCACATAGAAGACTGAAGATACAACTTCTTTTATGAGAGCTGAAAATGGGTAACTATTTTACTTCATAGGAGCCAAAGGGAAGAAGTTGTTTTCCCTAGAAAAACAACTCTATGATCTGCTGTAAGTTACAAATACATGACCTAGATCCATGTAGTAAGAATACTTTATACCGGGCTAGAGAGATGGCTCAGAGGTTAAAAGCACTGGTTGCTCTTCCAGAGGTCCTAAGTTCAATTCCCAGCACCCACATGGTGGCTCACAACTATCTATAATGAGATCTGGTGCCCTCTTCTGGTGTGCAGTTACACATGCAGGCAGAACACTGTATACATAATAAATAAATACATCTTTAAAAAAAAAAGAATACTCTATACCATGGATATTCTTTCCTACAGAATTTTTTAAGTGTGTGCTCTAACATAGTAACTATAGGCTCTCCAAGCATGGTTATATGGTATTTTCTTAAAACTTAGAATAGGACAGTGGGTAAAAGCCAGCCTGAAACTGTGTGTAGCCAAGGGTGACAGGGAACTCAGGGTCCTTCTACTGCAGCCTCCTGAGGCTTGCAGTCTCGAGCTGCCATGTGTGACTTATGTTTTTCTATTAGTCTAGTCATTTTTAGAAAGTGAGTCAACTCAGTATTTACTTAAGACTACTCTTGCTTCTCTTAACATCAGCGTGCATCATGGCACGCACTTATCCAAATGAAAGTCCAAGACATTGTATTCCTAATTTTAAAAGAAGGAAATCCAGCCAGGCATTGTTTTATGTATCCGTAATCCCAGCACTTGAAAGATGGAGAAGGATTTCAGATTCAGGGCTAGCCAGAGCTATATAATGAGCAGGCCAGCCCGAGCCACTGAGAAAGACTATCTCAAAAACCGAGAATTATGCTCTAAAGAGATGGCTCAGGAGTTAAGAGCACTTGCTGTTCTTCCAGAGGACCCAGGACTCCAGCACTCCATCAGCCTGCTCACAACCACTAGGAACTGCAGCTCCCAGGTATCTGAGCCCTCTTTTGGCCCCTGAGGACAGCCCACATACGTGTGGCACACACACTAAAGTACGTATAAAAACAAAGAACTAGATTCAGCCTTGTGTTCCAGTCCAGTTTCCCATGTTTTCATTGTTTGTGTTATGTCCTGAGCTTGCATGTATTTTTACAGGGCATCATTCACCTGGCTGTAGAATCATAAAGACATTGTTATAAAGTTATGGTTTCTAAATTCCTCTAGGAAAGAGAACTTGAGGCAAATAAAACGGAGAAGGTAAAGGAAGCTCAACTGGAAGCTGAAGTGAAGCTGCTCAGGAAGGAGAATGAGGCCCTCCGCAGGCACATCGCTGTTCTCCAGGCGGAGGTCTACGGGGCCAGGCTGGCTGCCAAGTACTTGGATAAGGAGCTGGCGGGCAGGTGTGTAAAGACAGCTCTGCTTGTATTCTTAGCGACCAGCAGCCGACTCATCTCCTGTAAATGAACATTTTACCCTCAGTTATATTTATGTGTAGCTATAGGTTAGCACTGCTGAATTAATATTGGCAACATTATTTATTTATCCATACTAAGTGTCGTTTACACAGACAGACTGATACTAACCTACTATGAGATGCCTATAACTGCCAAGCAATACTTCTCGGTTGTTTCCTGTCTTGACTGTGACAGGAAGTACCCATGTCGTCATCAATAAGGAGTCCCTTGTCCGTTACATCTGCTCTTTTTGGCCCCTCAAATATTTTTAAGAATAAAAGTAATTTTATTATAAAAGTTAGTTCTGTTGGCTTTAATATTGTTAGGAAATCAGTCATAAACTTTGACATGCTAGTATCAAATCATTTTATACTCATTTTTATGTTCTATTAAGAACTGAGATGAAGCAAAGTTGTTTTTTTTTTTTTTGTGTGTGTGTGTGTGTGTGTGTGTTTCCGAGACAGAGTTTCTCTGTATAGCTTTGCGCCTTTCCTGGATCTCACTTTGTAGACCAGGCTGGCCTCGAACTCACAGAGATCCGCCTGGCTCTGCCTCCCGAGTGCTGGGATTAAAGGCATGCGCCACCACTGCCTGGCGAAGCAAAGATTTTTTAAAATTATTTTTAGATTTTTAAATTTTATTTTATGTGTGAGTGTTTTGCCTGCATGTTAAATATACACCGTGTGTATGCAGTGCCTTCAGAGGTCATAAGAGGAGGTCACATCCCCTGGCACAAGAGTTACAGATGGTTGTGAGACCATGTGGGTGCTGGAAACTGAACCTAGGTCCTCTTCAAGAGCATCAAATGCTCTTAACCACTGAGCTTTCTCTCTCTAGCCCTTAAGCAAATAATTTTATCATTTTGAAATATAATTAAAAGAAATGTTTTTTTTTTTTTTTTTTTTT